AATATGAACAACGGGTAGGTTTACCACTGATTCTCGAACGAGGATTTCGCAGCGTGCAGTTTGAAATGCCTTCCACGGATTTCGGCGTTCGCGTTAACTGGCCGCGTCTACAACACTGATCGTGTTGGCGCAGGTTCGAATCCTGCCGCTGTCGGGTTATCGTTTGGGTTGAAATTCATTCTTCGCCTTTCGGTACAGTTGGTGTAGTTGGCGCATCAGCTAGAGCTGCGGAGCAGTTTCAGCTCGATGATCATCGACGACCATAGTCGCCTCCATACTCCAGTGGTTCGAAGCTGGTTATTGAGAAATCGCCTTCGTCAGGCTCAAATTAGAGCTCTGTGGAATGCGAGCCCGCTTTTCAGGTTGGACGCACTGAGTATGATATGCCTGTGTCTGCGTCTACGACGACTGTCAACGCTGAAGTTCATCGTGGATGACAGCTGGCGTCGAGTACCTGTTATAGGTTGGGCTATGCAGATGATGCTCTTCCCCTTCGTGCATGTTGATGGAGCTGATCAGAGTTCACAGAGGAAGGACAGAAGCTCTTTAAGACATCATATAGAGTAGGTTGCTGTTCGAAATGTGGTATGTAAAAATAATATTACTATTCAAAAGTATAAATGAATAAGCTACAAGAGTTTCTCTAACGACATCTCCGTCCCTGAGCCGAAGGCACTGCGTAAGGCACTTCGATCAATACACCGCAGTCCGTGGCCACCGGGCTACACGGACGCCGCGACCGAAGTGCACTCCAGGTTATGTAACCCTTTCGCCAGTCTTCTCCTCGGGTGTGGCTCGGAGCGAGCTGTGTTATGAAGCTACCTGGCGGCCTTCAACGACAATGAGGGTATAACATTGGCGGTGTATCCAGAGGCTTACGTAGACAGGGACGAGGATGGTGATGACGAGCAACGGGGGACCAGTAGCATCAGCAACGAGCTTAGGTATTTTCGTGTACACCTCCTACCGCCTCTTCACCTATTCTCATGGAACCCACGTAACTCTGAGCTCCATGCTCACAGCGTCCACAGACTGGATGCAACTCTCCTTTCTACTCCTTTTGTGGATTGGCAGGTATACATCTAGACCATGGAGTGCCCTGCTCACCACGGCCATCGACGCACTACGAACATTCAGTGCGATCGACTGCTGTCTGGACGTCACCACTGGCACGGTGGACTTCCAAGTACCAGCTACCTCACCGATCGGTAACTGTCATTCATCCTTCAGCCCTTCGAGCGTGCTACTCTCGGCAGCATGTGGCGAGGCAGGTTCCCGAGAGAGGTGGGTCATCGTCTACTGCTCCTCCTGCTGTACTCGTCTACATCAGGTGCACATGTACGTGGCAAGATACCATTGGTCGGAGGTGCCCAGTAGGCGTGAGCACGTGAGGGAGTGGATTGCTGATCGGTTTGAGTGTAAAGAAGATATGCTACAGAGGTAGCCTCGGCATGTGCGCTCATACAGTTTCCGCGGACAGCATCGTCAGTGTAGCCAGGGAGCAGCGAACCCTGCGGCCTTGACAGCGTATCAGGCCCAGCTGGTTCATGAGGATATGATGTATACTGGTCGGAAAATGTTCTGCTATGAAGTTCTCTTAGTTTTCTGCATCGCTTCCGAGTCCTTCATCACAGAAGTCGGGTATCGGGGCCACGCGTTGTTGTCGTTGATGAAGATCCTGCTCCCTCTGCTGCTGATCTTGGTGGTGTTCAGATTCTATTCGCCTCTCCAAGTGTTACTCACCTCACCTCCGCCCCAAGAGCAACAGTCATCGACAAACGACGAGCAGCAGCCTAGTCGTGTTGAATCATCCTCATCGCTGATGGAGGGTTGGGATGGTGAGGAGGCCGTCAGCATCACCAGCAATACGAGTAGCTAGCCTTGCCTGACCGTCACGCTGATCTGTAGTGTAGATATCAGGTTCAGTGGTAGACCAACTAGACCCTGCAATGTGGTTTTCGGAGGGTCCTGGAGAGCCGCCATTGGAGGAGGTCTTATCTAAGGAAATGAAGTGCGACTGGGGCCGAGCTCTGTGGCAGTCATCGCGACTGATCGTGGATTCATCGAAATCCCTCTCATCGCTCTATTCGTGTGAGACGAGAAGATACTGTGTGTACCTCACGACTCGGCAGTGGCCAGGGCTGTGAATATGAAAGGATTCACGATGCCGTTGGTGTATGAGCTCGCAATGCTGGCATTGCTCATGAGGACCAAGTATCCTTAGCTGGAAATACTGCAATAGCAATTTCGTGGCGCGCGGTAGGGTATCATCATCATCATCATCATCATCATCTCAGGTTTGTTCAATATGCTTACACCAGCTACATGCTGTGCTTCGTGGTGGCCTTGATAGTCCATCTCTTGGTAGGCAACCTCTTAGCTCTAACATAATGGTAACCATCCTCACTCAGATCGGAGTCCTCGTCTTCCGAGTGCCGACCTTCATGCTTTGGACGGTGCTCATTGTCTGTGCCTCCTATGCCTTCGTAACCTTTTCTGTTGGAGGCTTCGACATCCTCGAGCTCGAGGTGTGGCCGAGGAAACGCAATGTGGTTCTACCATCCGGTAAGAGGGTTTACACTCTCGATCATGCAGACTCGTGTTTTGCTGTCAGATGGTCCCCTGTCGTACGGCAATTTCATAGGGGCTCAGAGCGTTGGTAGAAAGGAAGAGTACGCAGGTCTGGGGCGAGGAGGTTATGACCCTCCCAGTACGATTTGGGGACATGCAAGTGGGAATAAGATTACAAGTCCACTCTCGATATTCTCCGTCGGAAGTGAGCCGAGGGTAGTCAGGCGAGTCGGTAGTAGTTGAAGTTGCATCAGATCCGTCCACTGGCAGCAGAGCGTTTAGGAAGGATTCTATTGTGAGTCCAAGAATGGAGCACAGGAGGAGCCAAAGTCGACATTTCTAACGCTACAGCTGTCTTGTGTTTGTTATATACTCGACAGGAATATTTGTCGGCGCTGCTGAATTCTCGATTTCCGCAAATTGTCAGCGCTGATTTACTTTGTCGTCAGTAGGATATTAGTTCACATGGCTCCCCGCAGGGCATCGACCGTTTCCACTCTTTCAGTATGCCCGTTCTGCTCGCTTCTCGCTGTGGACTGCTGAGCGGGCTGTTGTAGACTGCGTACCTCACCCCCCGTTTGATCTATCCCTGCTACTTCAGGTCTTCGACAGGTGATGATCGGCGGGACGAAACAAAGCACGACGAGGCGGGTGTGAGATAGAGTGGGAGCATGGCAGCTATTTTTCCGATCGCGGGAAGAAATGAGTAACCTGAGGCTTCGTCTGTGACAGCCTGTTCACGGGTCATGAGTCTAGAGACAGGCCAGGTCAAGGCCAGTGAAGAATAAACTTCCCTCTAAAGTATAGCCCGGTAAGAGGCAGGCCAGGTCAAGGCCAGTGAAGAATAAACTTCCCTTTAAAGTATAGCCCGATAAGAGGCAGGCCAGGTCAAGGCCAGTGAACAATAAACTTCCCTTTAAAGTATAGCCCGATAGCGGCAGGATTCGACCCTGTGCAGGCTGAGCCTAATGGATTTCCAGTCCACTTCCTTAACCACTCGGACACGCTGTCTAGTTTGGAGCCCGCCTGGCTGGTGCGGACCGTAAGGTGAGAAATGAATTTTCCTCCGAAGGACAACCCGGCAGCGGCAAGATTCGAACCTGCGCGGGCAGAGCCCAGTGGATTTCTAGTCCACCTCCTTAACCACTCGGACACGCTGTCTGGTTTGGAGCGCGCCTGGCTGGTGCGGACCGTAAGGTGAGAAATGAATTTCCTTCCATAGGGTAACCCGACAGCGGCAGGATTCGAACCTGCGCAGGCTGAGCCCAGTGGATTTCGAGTCCACCTCCTTAACCACTCGGACACGCTGTCTAGTTTGGAGCCTGCCTGGCTGGTGCGGACCGTAAGGTGAGAAATGAATTTTCCTCCGAAGGACAACCCGACAGCGGCAGGATTCGAACCTGCGCGGGCAGAGCCCAGTGGATTTCTAGTCCACCTCCTTAACCACTCGGACACGCTGTCTGGTTCGGAGTCCGCCTGGCTGGTGCGGACCGTAAGGTGAGAAATGAATTTCCTTCCATAGGATAACCCGACAGCGGCAGGATTCGAGCCTGCGCAGGCTGAGCCTAGTGGATTTCGAGTCCACCTCCTTAACCACTCGGACACGCTGTCTGGTCTGGAGTCCGACTGGCTAGTGCGGACCGTAAGGTGAGAAATGAATTTCCTTCCATAGGGTAACCCGACAGCGGCAGGATTCGAACCTGCGCAGGCTGAGCCTAGTGGATTTCGAGTCCACCTTCTTAACCACTCGGACACGCTGTCTAGTTTGGAGCCTGCCTGGCTGGTGCGGACCGTAAGGTGAGAAATGAATTTTCCTCCGAAGGATAACCCGACAGCGGCAGGATTCGAACCTGCGCAGGCTGAGCCTAACGGATTTCAAGTCCACCTCCTTAACCACTCGGACACGCTGTCTGGTTTGGAGCCCGCCTGGCTAGTGCGGACCGGAAGGTGAGAAATGAATTTCTCTCCATAGGATAACCCGACAGCGGCAGGATTCGAACCTGCGCAGGCTGAGCCTAGTGGATTTCGAGTCCACCTCCTTAACCACTCGGACACGCTGCCTGATCTGGAGCCCGACTGGCTAGTGCGGACCGTAAGGTGAGAAATGAATTTCCTTCCATAGGGTAACCCGACAGCGGCAGGATTCGAACCTGCGCAGGCTGAGCTTAGTGGATATCGAGTCCACCTCCTTAACCACTCGGACACGCTGTCTGGCTCGGAGTCCGACTGGCTAGTGCGGACCGGAAGGTGAGAAATGAATTTTCCTCCGAAGGACAACCCGACAGCGGCAGGATTCGAACCTGCGCGGGCAGAGCCCAGTGGATTTCTAGTCCACCTCCTTAACCACTCGGACACGCTGTCTGGTTTTGAGCCCGCTTGGCTAGTGCGGACCGGAAGGTGAGAAATGAATTTCTCTCCATAGGATAACCCGACAGCGACAGGATTTGAACCTGCGCAGGCTGAGCCTAATGGATTTCAAGTCCACCTCCTTGACCACTCGGACACGCTCTCTGGTTTGGAGCCCGCCTGGCTAGTGCGGACCGGAAGGTGAGAAATGAATTTCTCTCCATAGGATAACCCGGCAGCGGCAGGATTCGAACCTGCGCAGGCTGAGCCTAATGGATTTCAAGTCCACCTCCTTAACCACTCGGACACGCTGTCTGGTTTGGAGCGCGCCTGGCTGGTGCGGACCGTAAGGTGAGAAATGAATTTCCTTCCATAGGATAACCCGACAGCGGCAGGATTCGAACCTGCGCAGGCTGAGCTTAGTGGATTTCGAGTCCACCTCCTTAACCACTCGGACACGCTGTCTGGTCTGGAGCCCGCCTGGCTAGTGCGGACCGGAAGGTGAGAAATGAATTTCTCTCCATAGGATAACCCGACAGCGGCAGGATTCGAACCTGCGCAGGCTGAGCCTAATGGATTTCAAGTCCACCTCCTTAACCACTCGGACACGCTGTCTAGTTTGGAGCCCGCCTGGCTGGTGCGGACCGTAAGGTAAGAAATGAATTTTCCTCCGAAGGACAACCCGGCAGCGGCAAGATTCCAACCTGCGCGGGCAGAGCCCAGTGGATTTGTAGTCCACCTCCTTAACCACTCGGACACGCTGTCTGGTCTGGAGCCCGCCTGGCTAGTGCGGACCGGAAGGTGAGAAATGAATTTCTCTCCATAGGATAACCCGACAGCGGCAGGATTCGAACCTGCGCAGGCTGAGCCTAATGGATTTCGAGTCCACCTCCTTAACCACTCGGACACGCTGTCTGGTTTGGAGTCCGCCTGGCTAGTGCGGAGCGGAAGGTGAGAAATGAATTTTCCCCCAACGGACAACCCGACAGCGGCGGGATTCGAACCTGCGCGGGCAGAGCCCAGTGGATTTCTAGTGCACCTCCTTAACCACTCGGACACGCTGTCTGGTCTGGAGCCCAGACTGGCTAGTGCGGACCGTAAGGTGAGAAATGAATTTCCTTCCATAGGGTAACCCGACAGCGGCAAGATTCGAACCTGCGCAGGCTGAGCCTAGTGGATTTCCAGTCCACCTCCTTAACCACTCGGACACGCTGTCTAGTTTGGAGCCCGCCTGGCTGGTGCGGACCGTAAGGTGAGAAATGAATTTTCCTCAGAAGGACAACCCGACAGCGGCAGGATTCGAACCTGCGCAGGCTGAGCCTAGTGGATTTCGAGTCCACCTCCTTAACCACTCGGACACGCTGTCTGGCTCGGAGTCCGACTGGCTAGTGCGGACCGGAAGGTGAGAAATGAATTTTCCTCCGAAGGACAACCCGACAGCGGCAGGATTCGAACCTGCGCGGGCAGAGCCCAGTGGATTTCTAGTCCACCTCCTTAACCACTCGGACACGCTGTCTGGTTTGGAGCCCGCCTGGCTAGTGCGGACCGGAAGGTGAGAAATGAATTTCTCTCCATAGGATAACCCGACAGCGGCAGGATTCGAACCTGCGCAGGCTGAGCCTAATGGATTTCGAGTCCACCTCCTTAACCACTCGGACACGCTGTCTGGTTTGGAGTCCGCCTGGCTAGTGCGGAGCGGAAGGTGAGAAATGAATTTTCCCCCAACGGACAACCCGACAGCGGCGGGATTCGAACCTGCGCGGGCAGAGCCCAGTGGATTTCTAGTCCACCTCCTTAACCACTCGGACACGCTGTCTGGTTTTGAGCCCGCCTGGCTAGTGCGGACCGGAAGGTGAGAAATGAATTTCTCTCCATAGGATAACCCGACAGCGGCAGGATTCGAACTTGCGCAGGCTGAGCCTAATGGATTTCAAGTCCACCTCCTTAACCACTCGGACACGCTGTCTGGTTTGGAGTCCGCCTGGCTAGTGCGGAGCGGAAGGTGAGAAATGAATTTTCCCCCAACGGACAACCCGACAGCGGCAGGATTCGAACCTGCGCAGGCTGAGCCTAATGGATTTCAAGTCCACCTCCTTAACCACTCGGACACGCTGTCTGGTTTGGAGCGAGCCTGGCTGGTGCGGACCGTAAGGTGAGAAATGAATTTCCTTCCATAGGATAACCCGACAGCGGCAGGATTCGATCCTGCGCAGGCTGAGCCTAGTGGATCTCGAGTCCACCTCCTTAACCACTCGGACACGCTGTCTGGTCTGGAGCCCGCCTGGCTAGTGCGGACCGGAAGGTGAGAAATGAATTTCTCTCCATAGGATAACCCGACAGCGGCAGGATTCGAACCTGCGCAGGCTGAGCCTAATGGATTTCAAGTCCACCTCCTTAACCACTCGGACACGCTGTCTAGTTTGGAGCCCGCCTGGCTGGTGCGGACCGTAAGGTGAGAAATGAATTTTCCTCCGAAGGACAACCCGGCAGCGGCAAGATTCGAACCTGCGCGGGCAGAGCCCAATGGATTTCTAGTCCACCTCCTTAACCACTCGGACACGCTGTCTGGTTTTGAGCCCGCCTGGCTAGTGCGGACCGGAAGGTGAGAAATGAATTTCTCTCCATAGGATAACCCGACAGCGGCAGGATTCGAACCTGCGCAGGCTGAGCCTAATGGATTTCGAGTCCACCTCCTTAACCACTCGGACACGCTGTCTGGTTTGGAGTCCGCCTGGCTAGTGCGGAGCGGAAGGTGAGAAATGAATTTTCCTCCGAAGGATAACCCGACAGCGGCAGGATTCGAACCTGCGCAGGCTGAGCCTAATGGATTTCAAGTCCACCTCCTTAACCACTCGGACACGCTGTCTGGTTTGGAGCGCGCCTGGCTGGTGCGGGCCGTAAGGTGAGAAATGAATTTCCTTCCATAGGATAACCCGACAGCGGCAAGATTCGAACCTGCGCAGGCTGAGCCTAGTGGATTTCGAGTCCACCTGCTTAACCACTCGGACACGCTGTCTGGTCTGGAGCCCGCCTGGCTAGTGCGGACCGGAAGGTGAGAAATGAATTTCTCTCCATAGGATAACCCGACAGCGGCAGGATTCGAACCTGCGCAGGCTGAGCCTAATGGATTTCAAGTCCACCTCCTTAACCACTCGGACACGCTGTCTAGTTTGGAGCCCGCCTGGCTGGTGCGGACCGTAAGGTGAGAAATGAATTTTCCTCCGATGGACAACCCGGCAGCGGCAAGATTCGAACCTGCGCGGGCAGAGCCCAGTGGATTTCTAGTCCACCTCCTTAACCACTCGGACACGCTGTCAGGTTTTGAGCCCGCCTGGCTAGTGCGGACCGGAAGGTGAGAAATGAATTTCTCTCCATAGGATAACCCGACAGCGGCAGGATTCGAACTTGCGCAGGCTGAGCCTAATGGATTTCAAGTCCACCTCCTTAACCACTCGGACACGCTGTCTGGTTTGGAGTCCGCCTGGCTAGTGCGGAGCGGAAGGTGAGAAATGAATTTTCCCCCAACGGACAACCCGACAGCGGCAGGATTCGAACCTGCGCAGGCTGAGCCTAATGGATTTCAAGTCCACCTCCTTAACCACTCGGACACCAGATGAAATCAAAACACTTGACTCGCACGCTGCTCCCCCCGGCCCCCCGTCCAATGTTGCTTGAGACTGCCATGTTCGGCCAACCGGGTCATCGGCTCTCAACATTGGATGGGGGGGTAGAAGAGCTCGTCCTAACAACTCAATGTTACCCACGCTTCTCACAATTACTTTTTGCGTTTAACTGCAGCAGACAGCTTCACGGATGCTGCTCTGGCCTGCTGAAGTCGAAGACATGCCTTCGGAAAGAACTGCAACTTCCTGCTCGCCGGGTTAATTGCTCTCAACTCGATAGCATCAAGGCCGATACACAAACTTATATATCGCATACCGAGCAGGCGAATACCCGACCGTCACCCGGAGTACGAGCTAGTCATTTGTAGGACAGGATTAGTTTAGCAAAGCAGCTGCCACATGGGGGCAAATCTACTCGGCGATCTATAGGAATAGGATTGTTCAACGTTATCCACGCAAAACGTTCATTTAGCATGCGGTTTTCTTCCTGAGATAGATGCCGACGGTTGAAAGGCCCCGGGACAGTTGCAATCACCGGGGGCATCATCATAGTAAAAGTACGTCGGCCCTATTAGAGGTCTTAGGGAGAGGCACCACGAACGGAGTCTTGCCTTCCAGAAAACAGAGGCAATCTGATATAGCGAAACCAGCCTGCTGCTGATAAACTCTGAAGTCGTCCAATACAAATATCTCAGGCTTGCACTCGTCCAGGATAGCCAGCGGATAGCTGCCGGACGACAGCCCGACAGCCTTGAACAAAACGGAGATATGTTTGATCAAGTAGCTTTTGCCACAGGCTGAGGGCCCCGCCAACATCAGGTTGTGGTTTCTGCTGCGACCATTTATGAGCGTGCGCCTGATGGCGCGAACAGAATGAGTGGACCGGCACTTCATTCCTGGTCAGAATAGTCTCGATAGCACTGGAGGTGACGCCGTTGCACGCACATACATCGGAATCGGCTGTCTCCTCCAAAATTTGCATCCGCGATTTGGATGCTCTTATCAGATCACGCTCCGCAGACTCCATCCCCCATATCCTCTTGAGCATAGTACCCGGTGTATCCCGGTGATCCAGAATGAAGCTCTTCAGGTTTTTTTCTTTGCTGGCCGCAGCCAGAAACTCCCGCTCCGTCTTCAGTTTTCTGCTCACCACCCACCCCGCAATATCGCTCAGGCGACGGATTTTGCAACCTTCACCAGCTTCCTGTTTCTCGTCCACGATGCGCAGCTCCCGCTGTAGAGGTTCCGAGGGATACGGCGGATGACCCTCGCTCAAGAAGGGAGCAACATCTTCTTTGACGCAGTATTTATACGAGGCGAGATAGGATTTGAAGGCTTTGAAGCCCACGGCAACACGGTGGCGCAACAACCAGCGCGCTATTCTTCTCCAGCGGTGCCGACGAGAAGACCTGGTTGCGGCGTGATAGTGAGTTTTGGAGTCGGAATGCTTTTCACTGGCGACGCAAAAAGTAGAGTAAGGGCACGTCATGCTCTTTGAAGGCTTCTTGAATGACCTTGCCGAAGTCTGCTTTGGTCAAATCC